AGAGGTGGCATCCTATCCCCTGCCACACACACTGAGCCCTTTTAAGACTGTGAGGTAGAGTCCTGTCAGTCGTCTCCACCCTGCATTAACAGGAGCAGAGGCAGCGCCTGTTTCTCTCTTTCCCATTCTGTGTTAAGTGAATGGTTGCAAAGAGGTTGCACACACCATCGCCTCCCCATTACAGAATGAGGTAAAGAGTACACAGAGGAGTCTCAATGGGGTTGGAGGGTGAATTTTTTAAATCTGTGTATAAATTACTAAGCAAACCCTAAGTGACTCATGCATAAAATAAAAAAGAATCAACACAACAAAAGGTGTGAGAACTGAAATACTGGGTGAATACGGCTCATGTTTTAAATTGACCTCTGAGTAGCACATAGAGAGGCAGACCAGAATTTTATTTCATAGGTTTTGAAAACTAAATTGACTTTCAAACTATAGCTCACAAAATTGGATTGGACATGTGTTATGAGTTTAGGAAAGTTGACTGTCTACTAAAATAGAAGATTTATGTAGGAACCAGAGTCTCTAAAAATATAAGTATCTAGGATAAAATCCAAAAGTATTTGTCATACCAAAAACCCAGGAATCCTCAACTTGAATGAAAAATGACAACAAATGCTAACACCACGATGGCACAAATGTTGGAATTCTCTAACAAAGATTTTAAAGCAGTCATCATAAAAATATTCCAAGAAGCACTTATAAACACCTTTAAAACAAATGGAAAAATAGATAGCCTCAGCAAAGAAATTAAATATATAAATAATAATTTAAAAAATTTCACAATGGAAAAATACTCACTAGATGGGCTAGTGAGTTTAAAATTTTTAAAAACTCACTAGATGGGCTCAAAAGCAGAATGAAAACAAAAGAAGAAATAACCAATGATCTTGAAGATAGGTCAATAGAAGTTATATAATTTAGCATCATAAGGAAAATAGATGAAACAAATGATCAGAAACTCAGGGATCTGTGGAAAGGCAACAAAAGATCTAACATTTATGTCACTGGGGCAAAAAAGCAAAAGAATGAGTGTGGAATAGAAACACATTTTTTAAAAAAAATAGTGGCTGAAACATTTTAAAATTTGGTGAAAAACATAAACATACAGATTTAAGAAGCTGTGTGAATGCCACAGAAAATAAATTCAAAATCAGAAATTTAACCTTAATATAGCATCATACAAAGTGTATTCTCTAACAATAATGGAATTACATATAAATTAATCATAAAAAAAGAAAATCTCCAAACTCTCGAAAATTAAATAACATACTTAAAAATAATTCACAGCTCAATGAGAAAGTCTAATGTAAATTTTAAATAGTGTATATTGGACTGAATTAAAAGGAAATGACATATCAAAATCTGTTGGATACAGCTGAAATAATGTTTAAAGGGCAGACACTTCTCAAAAGAAGACATTCATGCAGCCAACAAACATAGGAAAAAAAGCTTAACATCACTGATCCTTAGAGAAATGCAAATCAAAAATACAATGAGATACCATTTCACGCCGGTCAGAATGGCAATTGTTAAAAAGTCAAGAAATAACAGATGCTGGTGAGGTTGCAGAGAAATAAGAACACTTTTACACTATTTGTGGGAATGTAAATTAGCTCAACCATTGTGGAAGACGGTGTGGCAATTCCTCAAAAATCTAGAAACAGAAATACCATTTGACCCAGCAGTCTCATTACTGGGTATATGCCCAAAGGAATATAAATAATTCTATTACAAAGATACATGTGTATGTTCATAACAGCACTATACACAATAGCAAAGACCATGGAATCAACCTGAAGGCCTATCAGTGATAGACTAGATAAAGAAAATGTGGCACATATACACCATGGAATGCTACGCAGCCATAAAAAGGAATGAGATCATGTCCTTTGCAGGGACATGGATGGAATTGAAAGTAATTACCCTCAGCAAACTAATGCAGTAACAGAAAACCAAACACCATATGCTCTCACCTATAAGTGGGAACTAAACAATAAGAACACATGGACACAGGGAGGGGAATGACACACACTGAGGCCTGTTAGGAGGTGGAGGGTAAGGAAGGAGAGCATTAAGAAAAATAGCTAATGCATGCTGGGCTTAATACCTAGGTAATGGGTTGATAGGTGCAGCAAACCACCATGGCACATGTTTACCTACGTCACAAACCTGCACATCCTGCACATGTACCCCAGAACTTAAAATAAAAATAAAAATGTAAAAACGAATGTTTAAAAGGAATATATAAAACTCGAGACACTTAAGGCCAGGCATGGTGGCTCACAACTGTAATCCCCAGCACTTTGGGAGGCCGATGTGGGTGGATCACTGGAGGTCAGAAGTTTGAGACCAGCTTGGCCAACATGGTGAAACCCCATCTCTACTAAAAATACAAAAATTAGCTGGGCGTGATGGTGGGTGCCTGTAATCCCAACTACTCGGGAGGCTGAGGCAGGAGAATTGCTTGAACCCAGGAGATACAGGTTGCGGTGAGCTAGGATTGTGCCACTGCACTCCAGCCTGGGTGACAGAGTGAGACTGAGTCTCAAAAAAAAAAACAACAACCAAACACTAGACACTTACATCAGAAAAAAAAAAAGAAATCTCAAATCAATAATCCAAGTTTCCACTTCAAGACACTAGCAAAACAAGAGCAAAAGAAATACAAAGTAAAGAGAAGCAAACAAATAAGAACAGAAATCAATGAGATTGAAAACAAAAATAATAGAGAAAATAAATAAAACCCAAAGCTAATTTTAACAGTGTCCAGTGAGATAGATAGACCTCTAACAAGACAAAGAAAAAAACAGAGGGCAAATTATCAAAATCAAGAATGGAAGAGGAGATATCACTACAGATCCCGCAAACATTAAAAGGATGAGAATGAAATACTGCAAAGAACTCTCCAAACATAAGTTCAACAACTTGGATGAAATGCATAAAATCCTTTAAAATTGCAAACTACCAATATGCATCCAAGATGAAAGGGATCATCTGAACAGTCCTATAACAACTTAAAAGTTTGAATTTGCAGTTTAAAAACCACCTAAAATAGAAGTCTCCAAACTCATACAGTTTCACTGTAAATTTTACTAAACATTTAAATAAATGACACAAGTTCTAGATAATCTAGTCCAGAAAACAGAAAACGAGGAAACACTTCTCAACCCATTTTTATGAGGTCAGCATTATATGAAGCTTAATACAAAACTGAGAACGTAAGTAGGCTTAGAGCTTTAGTCTTTATCTTAAGAACAGCAAGAAGCAAATTTAGGATTTGTCAAAGTCAAGTCAAAGATAAAGCTTTGTCAAGAGTCAAGAGTCAAGATAAAGCTCTGGACTGAAAATGAAGCAGGAATAACAACAGACAGTTATATTCTTCCTTTCAGTTGCTCTTCACTCCTAAACTGGAGAGATAAGCAAGCTACATCTGTTCCTTCATGCGTTCTTTCTCCTGGCCCTACTACCCTTCTCTGGCTTGTCTTTCATTTCTTTTTTCTTTCTTTCTTTTTTTTTTTCTTTTGGACACAGGCTTTTTTGACTCCAGTCTGTTGCCCAGGCTGGAGTCCAGGCCTGTCATCCAGGCTGGAGTGCAGTGGCACGATCTCAGCTCACTGCAACCTCTGCCTCCTGGGTTCAAGCAATTCTCCTGCCTCAGCCTCCAGAGTAGCTGGGATTACAGGCACTAGCCATAATGCCCAGCTAATTTTTGTATTTTTGTAGAGACAGGGTTTTGCCATGGTGGCCAGGCTGGTCTCAAACTCCTGACCTCAGGTGATCCACCTGCCTTGGTCTCTCAAAGTGCTGGGATTACAGGCGTAAGCCACCGCGCCTGGACCTCTGGCTTGTCTTTCAAAGAAAAAAAAAAAGCCTCCATTACAGCTTGCCAGCTGCAAGGGAGAAATTAAGGGGGAAAAATGCTAACTTCTTGCACCAATTACCAAAAACCCCCAGAATTTATTGTTCTAGTATATTTTAATGTTTTGTTTTTAGAAATTCAAGCATTCTAAATCCCAGACATTTGACTTTAAAGAGTCTCTGTACCAGCAGAAGTTATATTCAACATTTTGTGTGTGGGCACAGTTTTTATCAAATTTTAGTCTGTGATTCCCTCACCACACCGAATGGAGGAGTATTATGTTCTTCCATGAAGTTAGAATTTAGAGCAACATCTTGCTAAATAGAAGTTATATCAGTGTAAACTGTCAAATGCCAAGTATTTGTTGGTATATTTAAAAAGAGAAAGAAATACAAAACAAATAATTAACATTAAATACTTTAATTAATGTATGGTTTATAGTTAAGTCCAGATATGATCCAATCTTCTATACCTTCTTCATATTGGAGACTGCATACTATAAATGGTCATAATCTTGACCTTAAATCATTGCAAAATTATGAATTTACATTTACATTATCAAATAAAAATTATATTATGCCAATATAGTTTAGTGTTAATTTGAAAACGGGTAACCCACGAATTGCCTATTTATAAGTTTTCTGTATTGCCTTATCCTCAAGTATAATATTCTGCCTAATCATCAGGAGATTCCTTATAAGCAGGAAGAACAAAACTCAGGACTGCTTTGTCTATTCTCCGAGTCTTTAGAGTTGGTTGGTTGTAGCTGATGCACGCTAAATGTGAGGCTTGGGCTCTCATGGTCAGCACACTGGGGTCCCGTTGTCACCTGCATCTCCAAGATTACCAAGGTCGGTCTCTTCCGCCCTCTCTCCCCGTCTCTCTCCCTCTCCCTCCCGCCCTCCCTTTCTCTCTTCTTCCCTTCCTTCTCTCTCTCTCTCACACACACACCCTCCACACACACGCTTCATGGATATACTGTCCCTCCACTAACGCACCACTCGCTCCTCACAGCACAACTTGGATCAAAGTCTCAGACCCCTGAAGATCTCTCGCATGGGGTCGCCATTCTTCCTGCTTTGTGCTCAAGGCACAGGACCTGGAGTTCTCAGTTTCCAAGCAAGACTGGTCGAGTCTAAGTCGGATTGGCTGCGATAGAACGAGGTTATACCAAATCACAAAGCTAGGATTTTCATCTCTCTCTTAGTCTCCGCCCTCGAATCCTGGCAACAGGGCGCTGTGTGTTTTTCTGAGAGGAACCCGGCCTGGGGTTGCTATGGAGATAGGACGCAGCAACTTACAGAGCAACCAGGACCCAGAAATCGCTTAAGAGACCGCGGCAAAGTAACTGAACTGAATTGCCTTCTTCCATATTTTCACGCCTCTTTCATCCAGAACACTTTTTCTCGAACTGCTTCCATGGAAGACTTAACCTCCCCGAAGCAAGAAAAAGAAAACCAAGAAGAACTAGGGGAAGCAAGGCAGTCATGGGAAGGAAAGACAGCAGCTTCTCCCCAATATTCTGAGCCTGAGTCGTCTGAGCCCTTGGAGATGAAGCAGGGGCCAGAAACTGGACGCCAGTCCCGAAGCAGCCGTCCTTGGAGCCCCCAGTCCAGAACCAGGACGCCTCTGGGTGGCCCCGCGGGGCCAGAAACATCATCACCTGCTCCTCACTCTCCGCGGGAGCCGTCTTCCACTCCTTCTCCCCCGGCTCCGCCCAGACAAGACCTCGCGACACCACCTCAGTCAGACAGGACCACGAGTGTGATTCCTGAAGCTGGGACGCCTTCTCCTGATCCTTTGGAACAATCATCTGATAAAAGAGAATCAATTCCTCTTCACACAAGCCAGTCAGAGCGAAACACCTTTCAACAGTCTCAGCAACCCAAACCCCACCTGTGTGGACCAAGGGACGTGAGCTATAACAACGCTAAACAGAAAGAGCTGAGATTTGACGTTTTTCAGGAGGCAGACTCAAACAGTGACTGTGATTTACAGCTGCCTGCGCCTGGGGGCTCTGAAGGGGCCCCCAGCATGCTTGAGACCGCCATTCAGAATGCTAAGGCTTACCTGCTGAAGACTAGTAGCAAGTCGGGCTTTAATCTGTAAGTCTCAGAGGGAAAAAAGATAAAAGTTTGGCAAAGCAAGAGGGTGTGTGAGTATCTCTGTGTGAGAGTGTGTTTCTGTGAGTGAATCAAAATATATTTGAAAAGATTGCATTAGTAAAAGAGAGTTAATGACATAACTCTGGATCACATGACTCAAAACACATCATTAATGGAGATTCTTATGCCTTCTTTTTCCTAACCTTTTTTTTTTTTTTTTTGGCTTTTCCTGCAGCTTCTTTAAAGATCCTAGGCACACACAAAAAATAAAACTTAGGAATTATGGAGTCTCGGGCTTGAAAGATACCATAAAGACCATAAAGTCCAAGCATCTCTGCAGGATGCTTGTGAAAAATAACTGTCTGCCAGTGAAAGCGATCACATGTCTCTCATCTGTAGATACTATCGCTTGCATGGCTTTTGAGTTCCCAACCCAGGCTGTGCTAGGGTGACCACCATCTCCGTTTGGCTGAGTGCTGAAAGTTCTTTATCCTAAGAAACCCCTTAGTCCTCACAAACTGGGAGAACTGGTCACTATACAAGCCACCTAGAACACATGCCATTTTATCCAAGTCTCTTAAAATGTGATGATCAATAGTCTACATATGTTCTGCCCATCCCATTATAGCTTGAATTTTAGAACTTATGACAGTATAGATTTCTATAGATTTTTGCTTCCAGAGTTACATAATGATAGGGTCAATAGTATTTTAGGGCTAGAAGGGATTTTGGAAAACATCTAATACAACTCATTAGTTTTTGTACATGAGGAGACCAAGTCATGGTGAACCTAATTTGCTCAAGATTCCAGTGGCTGACAACACTTACGGACTCTTACCTCTCCCTCCATCGCTAAGCTCCAGCCCCATGGCTGTTCCCTGTGCCCAGAAGGCTTCTTTTCTAAGTCTTTGGCTGGCTGGCTCCTCATTCTTCAGAACTCAACTTCTATGGAACACTACTAAAAAGCTTATTCTTTTCCTTCATAGCATTTAATGTCATGTATAATTTTATATACAGAGAGATAGACTTATATTTGATTATCTGACTCTCCCACTAGATTGCAGGCCCCCAGACGTCAGGGACTCTGAATTTTGTATACCACTATATACTTAGTGGTAGCACAGTGCTAGCAACTATTAATCGAGTAAGAAGAAATGAATGCTTTTTATATTATTTCACTCTACAACAACCAACATAGAAGACTTCTTGTTGTTGCTGTTGGTTTTGTCTTTGTTTTGAGACGGAGTCTGCTTTGTCGCTGGGACCGGAGTGTAGTGGCACCATCTCGGCTCATTGTAGCCTCTGCCTCCCGGGTTCAAGCAATTCCACTACCTCAGCCTCCCAAGTAACTGGGATTACAGGTGTGAGCCACTGCGCCCAGCCTCAACACAGAAGACTTCTGTGACAGGATGTTTGGGGTTCTGTTTTCCTATCCACAAGCAAGCAATCACTTCTGTAGTGGGCACCAACTAGGTGTCCTCTGATTCAATTCTGACATATCCACCTGGAGATAGCATCAGATTCCACAGGTTGAGGGCTCAATCCCACAAGACTTCCCCACACTTCCAATGCCAATCACAAGCCCCAGGCTGATTAACCTGTGCTTCTGACCAACCAGCTATAAATCAGGGATCCCACAACTCCCTCCTTGGGTTCGACTGGTGTGCTAGAGTGGCTCACAGAACTCAGGGAAACACTAATATTACTGGCTTATTATAAAGGATATTACAAAGGATGCATATGAAGAGGTATTGGGTAAGGAGTGCAAAGCTTCCATGCCCTCTCTGGGAAGGCCACCCTCCAGCAACCTCTATGTGTTCAGCTGGCAGATGCTCCCCGAAACCTGTTCTCTTGGGTCTTTTATGGAGATGTTATTGGATCGGCATGATTGATGACTGTGTAGAAATGTGACTTATAGGGGTATAATCTAATGCTAATAGACTGAGTGGGGAAACCCAGCAAGGTCTATCCAGATTCTTCTTGGCCTCTCTGTGGAGCATTCTTTCCTCCTTGATATGGAGCAGGACCTCTTTTGAAATGCGAGTCTTATGACCATCAATCAGACAAAGTAGGTTAGAGAATTTCATTATGGCCAGACATGGAGAAAGGTTAGAGTATACTTTCAGTTTCTAAGGCCTATCTTGGGGAGAAATGAAAAGCGGTATGAGACTTATGAGTCAGAAACTATGGATGAAAACCAATGTATACAAATCATAATTCCCAAGTTTTCACCATAATCTATTGGGGTGCTTCCTGATTAATCAGCAAATATTAAATGCCTACTGAGTATACATTGTGGCATATATTTACAGCTATTAGTAGGCTTTATGATATAGGAGATATAATTTTAAAGTCTAATGAATAAAAACATTAATGTATGATGTGAGAAATCTCATGAAATGTGAGATCAGTTTGAAATACTATTTATTAGTTAATCTTTTTTTTTTTTTTTTGAGACAGAATCTCACTCTGTCCCCCAGGATGGAGTGCAGTAGCATGATCTCGGCTCACTGCAAGCTCTGCCTCCCAGGTTCACGCCATTCTCCTGCCTCAGCCTCACGAATAGCTGGGACTACAGGCGCCCGCCACCACACCAGGCTAATGTTTTTTGTATTTTTAGTAGAGACGTGGTTTCACTGTGTTAGCCAGGATAGTCTCGATCTCCTGACTTCATGATCTGCCTGCCTCAGCCTCCCAAAGTGTTGGGATTACAGGCGTGAGGCACCACACCCAGCCTATTAGTTAATATTTTAAACTACAATTTACTTAAGCTGCAAGAATGTAATTTGCTACCCTGTAGTGGATTCTACTTGAATTTCTGATATAAACTTCTTGACATATTGCCCCATGTTAGATAACAAGCACGAATTTACAAACTGTTAAAATTGCAAAGGAACACATTACAAATACTTGTGAGTTCACTAACAATTTAAAACTGAATGCAAAAACATGAGAAATTTTTCTTTATTGAATTATTTTATAATTGATATTACTTACATATCTAAATTTAATTTTATTTCCAAATGCTGTCTCTGAGGTAATAAGTGAATATCTTCCATAATATTCACTGCTATCCTCTAAGTACTTTAGTGCCTGCAGTTCAAAATTGTTTACTAAAAGATGACTTTAACTCCATCTCTTATATGCAGATCTAATTTGAGAGCCATAAAAGCTATTTTTCATGGCAATTTAAACTATCTTTACTGAAATATGGAATCTGAAAATAGTGTTTCATCATTGAACTAAAAAGCTATAGGAAAGAATTGCTTGCTCCTTTTCTTCCATTAAAAAAATAAATTGTTAATTCTCCCTAATAGAAAAAACTATAATTGTAAATTAAAACCTAATACATATATTTCATAATTTGACACAAAGGCATTTTCAGGCGTGGACTTGAATAAAGCACATATATGCATTATATTGAAACCTGAAAAATAAAATGAAAATTTGGACTGAGAGTCCCTAATTTGATGCCATCCACATCTGCTACTGAAGCAGATCAAACCCTTTCATTATTAACCCAGCTATTGCCCAATAACGAACAGTGTTTTTAGTCTGGAGTCTTGTCCATGAGTTTTCTTTTTTTATTTTCTTTTTGAGACGGAGTCTCACTTTGTCACCCATGCTGGAGTGCAGTGGCACGATCTCAGCTTATTGCAACCTCCGCCTCCCGGGTTCAAGTGATTCTCCTGACTCAGCCTCCCCAGTAGCTGGAATTACAGGTGCCTGCCACCACACCTGATTAATTTTTGTTTTTTTTTTTTAATAGAGACGGGGTTTTACCATGTTGGTTAGGCTGGTCTTAAATTCCTGACCTCAGGTGGTTCACCCACCTCTGGCTTCCAAAGTGCTGGGATTACAGGCAGCCACTGCGCCCAGCCTTCTCCATGAGTTCCAACAGTGCATGAATATTAAGGAAGCTTGATGAAGTTTTAAAGAAACTTCTAGTCAAAATATTTCTGTTCATTTACAAGAATTATTTGAGGAAGTAATTTTATATTCTTCAAATACCATATAATATTTTTTAACTGCCCTTTACATTGATCTCCCATATAACATACATCTTTTTCTTTGACATTTCTGAGGTCATTAGATAAATATAAACATTAAATGAAAAAGAAAAAACAAAAAATAAAGCTTGAGTCAATTAATAGAAAGTAGGCAATTATTGAATAATTATTTATTTTGTTTCACTATAATAAGAGAGGAGATATATAAAACCCTAATCTTGGCTGTGAAGAAACTACTGCAGTTGCTGAATAGGAAATACATAATGTAATAAAATTTTAGAGCAGCACATCATTGTTCTCAGAAAGAACCCCTCTGAACCGGGGAAGGATGATTTTGGGGAATGACTTGAGTGCTAAGTCCCTAAGAATGAAAGGAGTTTTAAATTATTTTTTGAGAGAAATTATATATATGGTTCACAGCAAGCAAAAGCTCCCAGGTAGAACTTAGCAAATACATGAAAGTAATGTTTATTAGAAGGTCTAAATGAACTAATAATTAGAAACAAAGTTGGAGAGATATGATGCGTATCCACCAGAGAAGCAATTTATATAAATCTCCACATTGAACAGAGGAGTATTTTCTCAAGAAAAGAGCACTTTGACAGGACACAGGAACACTTTGATAGACATTTTGGCCTCTTAACATTCACTTTGTAATTCTGGTATTTGAAAAAGCAAACACTAGCAGTTCTATATAAAATGTAATGAATTACTGAAAGGATAGAGGCAATTTCACTAATTCAGTTGTGAAATAAAAATCTAGGGCAGTGTTTGTAATAGAATAGAACAAAATGTTAGATTGTATCACATTTCAATAAAGGTAAGTAATATTTAATGGCACTTTTTTGTGTGTAAGTGGATGTTACAATATGAAATGCAAGATGGTCTGAGAAACACTGAAGTACCAATTGGCTTTAAAAAAAAAATGGAAAGAAAGAGAACAGATCTTAAAGACAGTCAACAGGATTAGAAATCAAATTGGATTGGGTGAGGGCGGGGGAAGGGGAATGGAAAAGAAGTTATAGTAAACAGTGAAAAATAATGTTAATAACTTTTAAATATATAACCAAAAGATTGTAATTTTAGAAATAAAATGTGAAAATGCACCTGATGTGGAATATGTATCATGCTCTAAAATGTTTTTCTTTAATAACTTAAACATCCTTATTATACTGGAATCATTTCCTGAGGAAAACTCTAGGATAAGTTATTTCTAGCATAGTAGAAATTACCTTAAGTGTTATCCACTGAAAATCTCTGAAGACTTTCAGTTATTGAAGTTCCCTAAAAACAAACTGAGTCTGCAAATAGCTGTTCAATAATTGCCTACTTTCTATTAATTGACCTAAGCTATATTTTTTCTTTTTTTGTTTTTCATTTAACGTCTATATTTATCTAATGACCTCAGAAATGTCAAAGAAAAATGCTTCTTCATATGCTCTTGACATGTATATTATCTGGAATTTTCTCTGTTTGGATAGATATGATCATCTTTCTAATATGTTGACCAAGATATTAAATGAGCGTCCTGAAAATGCTGTCGACATCTTTGAAAATATTAGCCAAGATGTGAAGATGGCACATTTTCGTAAAAAATTTGATGCACTCCACAATGAGAATGAGATGCTTCCAACATATGAAATAGCAGAAAAGCAAAAGGCTCTTTTTCTCCAGGGACATTTGGAAGGAGTTGACCAAGAATTGGAAGATGAAATAGTAAGTCACTACTATAAATTTTAATAATTAAATCTTAGGATTTTATTTCGGATGAATAGCTGTGGCTTTAAATTCATACCAACTGTATTTTATAGCTTTTTTTTTTTTTTTTTTTTTTTTTAAAGACAGGTGCCCAGGCTTGGAGTACAATGGCACGATCCTGGCTCACTGCAGCCTCTACCTCTCAGGGTCAAGCGATTCTCCCTCAGCCTCCCGAGTAGCTGGGACTTCAGGCACGTGCCACCATGCCCAGCTAATTTTTGTATTTTTAGTAGAGATGGGGTTTTGCCATATTGGCCAGGCTGGTCTCAAACTCCTGACCTCAAGTGATCTGCTTACCTTGGCCTCCCAGAATGTTGGGATTACAGGAGTGAGCCACTGCACCTGGCCTTTATAGCTTCTTACATAGTATTTGCATCTTATTTTTTGAAAGTATCTTCAAGCCTTCTTTAGTCAACCTCATTTCACACTACTCATTTCCTTGATTAGGGATTTCTTGTTTTATCATACTGTGTTTTAGTATTTTGCAAGCTAAAACAGATTGTTATAGGTTTGTATGCTAAGTTTCTTAATATTAGAGAAAAGGATTTCTTCACATTTTATATTCTCCAAGGTGCCTGGTGCAGATCTGGATGTACAGCTATCTTTTGCTAAAGATTTGTTGAATAATGAATAAATGTTAGATAATTAAAAATCAGGTTTTAAATCAAGTTGCATATTTATTAGAAAATTCAGAAGCACTTCTAATGTCATTTGTATTTTCTTCTAAGACAAGCTCCTTATGTTATGACTTGATATTATGTATATTACATCAATGGGACGTAATACAAGAGGAGAGGAGTAAAATACTTTTTTAAATCGTCATAGACAAAATGTTGAAAATATTTGGAGTTGGTGACAGAGATTGAAAAAAGCTATAATTAGAGAATAAAATCTTATATATCAAAGAAATTTTAATTTCAAGTATTTCATAATAGTATTGGCTATTTTGTTTCCTAAATACTCATATACTTGTAATTTGTACACATCTGCTGAACTTACATTCTGTTACCACTAGATTATTTAAGATGTGTCTATATGCTTTCAAATTTGATGTCTGGAGTAAGGTATTTTCAAAATAGCACTCTGTCAGGGAAGAGAGAAGAGAGACAGTAGATGCTGTCTCTAGGGTAAGCAGCCTATGAGGAGAGAGCTAACTGACAGTAAGATCTGTAGTACTCATACAGGTGATAGGTGTCAAGGAGTTGACATTGGACAGTTTCAACAAGGTGGCAGTTGGTTCTGTAGCCATATCCAGTGATGATGAGTCTGGGAGCGAACAGCATATGGAGATGAGGCAGATAGGCAGGCATTCTCATGCAGGAGTTAATCAAAGAAACTTCAGACTCCAGGGTAAGAATGGGTGCCCTTTATAGGCACAGCATTACAAAGTAGGACTTTGCGTCCTAAAACTAGGATATGGGGTGAGAATACAAATAAGCTGTTTTGATCATGGGACCTGGGCCCTTTAACTAGATTCCATAAATCTTCCTCATAAGGGATAAGATTGGCTTTACAGCCTGGAACAGCTGAGTCATCAGGTGAAGATTAAAAGCTCCACCTCAGAAAGTAGAAAGATGCAGGAACAGATAGACAGAGGTCTCTCTGATGCATTGAAATATGAACTACATGACCAACCCTGTCCCTGACTTACATGTTTAGAGTGTTCATGTTCTTATTCCTGCCTTTAACCACACCAGAATTCATTTGCTTAGTCTTCAGCATTCATTTATTCATTCACCCATTTATTCATACACAATGTGACTACTGCATTCCAAGTACTGAGATACACATTTTCTGACTTTAAGTTGCTTACGACTTAGAGAAAGGCAAAAAAGACTGGAAAGCCATTTGATTAGTGCAATAAAGAGCTAGCCTCATTTGATGGAGTAAACATGGGCTTTGGAGGTAGCCAGATCTGAGTTAGAATCCTAGTTCAACTAGCTTGATAGTTGTGTGATTTTGAGCAAGAGGCTAAACTTTCCAAGCCTTAAGGACAATCAAATGGCAAAAACCTGAGGGGTGGAGGTAGTATATATAAAGGATTTGGCCTATAATAGGAACTTAATAGTAGCAATTATTATTATATTGTTTTGACAAAATGATAAATGACAGAATGGAACAATTAACTCTGCTATTGGTAATTGGGCAAGGCTTTTTAGTGGAGGTAATATTTCATTTGGGCCATGAAGGATAAGCAGGAGTTCACCAGGGGAAGACTCTTAGAAATTAAATTCTTAGAAAAAAGAACAATAAAATAATCAGGAAAGATTATTTGATGTTTGGAAAAGTCGAGTGTGGGTTTGAGGGAGTGATTGATGGAAATGAAGCGAACAGAGTGCTTAAAGCCAGACTGTTCTTTGTGCGTTGATAAGTACCTTCTTTCTTGTAAACAGTAAGAAGTTTTTAAATAGAGAATAGCATAGTCTGACTTTTGGTTTAGAAAGATAACTCTGATCATAATATGAAAGATAATGAAAAAAGAAAGGTAGAATGGGGCCGGGAGGAGAGTGTTAGAAGCCTTCTGCTATAGCACAAGTAGTGAGGATGGTGACTAATGCAGTATAAATGAATACAAGAGGAGGAAATAATGCCAACAAATTTTTATGTGCTAGAATCAATAGGAATCTAACTACTTAAATATTGAGGGTCAAGGAAGTCAGAGGAAACAAAGATGACCAAACTTTCTGGTGTGAGAAACTGAGATGTCACTGGTGAAGAAAGAGTACATAGAAAAAAGAGAAAACTTTGAGAGAAACATGAATTAAATATTAAACTGAGGTATTTTTAGAATACTCAAGTGAAATTGATCAGAAGTGGCTAGAAATATGTGTAGAATATGGGAGAAAATCAGAGTTAAAGAAACTTTAAACAGCCACTTATCACTTGAAGTGGTGTGGAGAACTCTTCCAAGCATAAAGTGTTGAGAGATGCGATAAGTGAAAAGGATATTTTAACAACATCAACATTTGGAGCTCAAGAAATAAGGGAGCAATTAAAGAGACTTAAGATGAAATAGTTCTAAAGGGCCAAGTAGGATAGGTACAGCAAATGTCAAGGAAAGACTTTTGCAATCCTACATCAAGGCGATGAGGATTTTAAACAGTCATTATACTTATTTTGACACTACAATTATAATATAAATAATAGCATATCATTTGTAAGAATAGCAGAGCTCTCAAGTTCTTCATCTTGAGGGTCAAGGTTTGTCTTGCAAGTTTTCTTGACCTATAGTTGAAGTTCTTTCCTACTTTTTCACAAATGTGTTTCTTTTTCTTTCTTTTTTCTTTTTTTTTTTTTTTTTTTGAGATGGAGTCTCTCTCTGTGATCCAGGCTGGAGTGCAGTGGCGTGATCTCGGCTTACTGTGAGCTCTGCCTGTCGGGTTCACGCCACTCTCCTGTCTCAGCCTCCTGAATAGCTGGGACTACAGGTGCCCGCCACCACACCCGGCTAATTTTTTGTGTGTTTAGTAAAGATGGAGTTTCACCATGTTAGTCAGGATGGTCTTGCTTGTGATCTGCCTGACTCAGCCTCCCAAAGTGCTGGGATTACAGACGTGAGCCACCACGCCCAGCCTTCACAAATGTGTTTCTATGGTTCATTTGAGACTCTGCTTATTCATTTCTCTGTATTTCTTTTGTGGAATTTTTTTTATTTCTCTCATTTTAAATTCAAAATAATTTATTATAAGTAGGAGGAGCATCTGACTACATTATGTCTTCAAGTATAGACATGAGTACTTTATTATATGTTCCTTTTATTTATTCCATACATTACATTACACAGACTATATTAATTTTTAGTGATCCTATATATATAAAACCATGCACTTAATAAATGTTTATTATTTTTAAAGATATATAGTAATATAGACATATGTAAAACTATACTTTGTTCTAAACATATATGTACATAGTTATTCTACATCTTATTTTAGGATAGTAAGGGAGTCACTTAAATATTTTTTATAAAACAGGAATGTTGAATTTTTATTATTCATAGTGATTATTAAATTTTCTCTACCTATGTACATAAACAAGGTAGCTATTATACATTAATGAGTATAAGATACAAGAGAAGCTACATTTATAAATAATGAGAGAAGAACAGAGATTCAGGAATTATCATACTTTGATCTAAGTATTTTTGTTTGTTTTTTGACATGAAGTCTCACTCTGTTGCCTAGGCTGGAATGCAGTGGTGCAATCTCAGCTCACTGCAACCTCCTCCTCCTGGGTTCAAGTGATCCTCCTGCCTCAGCCTCCCAAGTAGCTGGGACTACAGGCAGGCACCACCATGCCCAGCTAATTTTTGTATTTCTATTAGAGACGGGGGTCGCACCATGTTGGCCAGGCTGGTCTCGAACTCCTGAGCTCAGGTGATCCACCCACCTCAGCCTCCCAAAGTGCTGGGATTACAGGTGTGAACCACCGTGCCCAGCCAATTTGATCTAAATCTTGAGAGAAATGTCAAAGAAGTGGTGGAGAAAGTAGAATATCAAGATACATAAAAAAGACAAGGGAAGCAAGCATTTGTCTTATCGATAAATTTTAACCATAGCATTTGTTTCTGCAGGCAGAAAACGCTCTTCCAAATGTAATGGAGTCAGCTTTTTATTTTGAACAAGCTGGAGTTGGTTTGGGCACAGATGAGACATACCGCATATTTCTTGCCCTCAAACAGCTTACTGATACCCACCCAATCCAAAGATGCCGCTTCTGGGGAAAGATCTTGGGTCTGGAAATGAATTATATTGTAGCTGAAGTGGAGTTTCGTGAGGGGGAAGATGAAGAGGAAGTGGAAGAGGAAGATGTGGCTGAAGAGAGGGACAATGGAGAAAGTGAAGCTGATGAAGATGAGGAAGATGAACTACCAAAATCCTTTTACAAGGCCCCACAGGCTATACCAAAAGAAGAAAGTAGGACAGGTGCCAACAAATATGTCTATTTTGTTTGCAATGAACCAGGAAGACCATGGGTGAAGTTACCACCAGTTATACCTGCACAAATTGTTATTGCAAGAAAAATCAAGAAATTTTTCACTGGGCGATTGGATGCTCCCATTATAAGCTACCCACCTTTCCCAGGAAATGAGAGTAATTATTTACGAGCGCAAATTGCCCGAATTTCAGCAGGAACCCACGTCAGTCCTCTAGGATTTTATCAGTTTGGTGAAGAGGAAGGAGAGGAAGAAGAAGAGGTAGAAGGTGGGCAAAATAGCTTTGAGGAAAACCCTGATTTCGAAGGCATCCAAGTGATTGATCTAGTAGAATCCCTATCCAACTGGGTTCATCATGTACAGCATATTCTCTCTCAGGTACGAGCTTTGCAGTTCTCAATCTATCAGGTAATTAAGCAAATATTCATTAAATTATCACTATAATGCATGAAGATATACAAAATAAAGGCCTTTGGATTCTACTTAATAGGCAGGAAAAGAGATAATTAAAAACACAGCCAAAAATGCAGAGTAATATAAAACGCCGGTGTCTATATAATTGTCTATATAACTGAAGTTCCCAGGGATCTCCAAACAGACTTTATTTTCTATTTGAAAATAAAACACATTCTTCTGTGGAACATTTGACAAATGATGTACAGATTTAGATTTGTGTGTTCTGCAATTACGCAATTTTTTTATATGTTTAATATAGATGGGTAAATTAATTTTGAAAAGTTCTTTAATTTTATCTCTATAATACATGTAGCTTTTATGTCAAGAACAGTAAGGGATTATAACAAAAACAAAAAACAAAGAAACAGTGCTATATAGCAGTTATGTAACACCTATTGTTTCAGGTGTGCGTGTGTTTGTGTGTGTGTGTGTGTGTATAAGATTTAATCTTTACAACAACCCCGTGAAACAGTATTATTATCCTCAATTTTCAGATGAGGACATAGAAACAGAGAGTTTAGGAAATGTGACAAAAGGAACATAGCTAATAAGGAACAGAATCAGATGTGAGACTGCACAGAATGGACCCAGTGCATCCACTTAACCCTTGTGCTATACTACCTCATCTGCAGGTAGAAAATCTTTATTATACTTTGATCTAGATAAGAGATACTCTTAGCTTTCTCTACATAAGAGTTAACTAAATGAGACATTATAAACCCTAAACCTCCATAAATAATCTTATTACCACATTTAAATGTTATTGTTAATAATCATTATCATAATAGCTTCAGCTCTCTCATAGATTATTTACCACAAACCAGTAAAATACACTCTTACCTTTTTCACTAAGGTTCTGCTAATTTTAAAATATAAGTGATAATTTTAAAATACACATTCTGTGACTTCAAGAATTTGGCAAATTCTCAATATAAATAGCATGGCTTTTTCCTTGAAACAACCTAGATGAAACTAGCACTTGGAAAATGTACATAGAATGAATGAATGAATAATCGATTAAATTCCCACAGAGTGACGCTTCATCCTGATCAATTCAAATGAATGTTCTGAAATTTTAAGGTCCCCATTAGACTACTAAATCTTGCAACATTCATTCCCAGGGTCGCTGTAATTGGTTCAACTCCATACAAAAAAATGAGGAAGAAGAAGAGGAAGGAGAGGAAGAAGATGAAGAAAAAGAAGAGCCTGACTACATAGAACAGGAAGTGGGGCCTCCTCTTTTGACACCAATCTCTGAAGATTTAGGTTATTTTACATAACTATTATCACACACAGACACACAAACAATATAATATACTATGTGCGTTATATAGTAAATATGAGAGTTGGAAAGCTCTAAAAAGTGAACAAGAGCCAAGGTCTCATCCTCTTCCCATTCGTGTTCTGGGATGATAGGGAGTGAAGAATATAGCTAGCCACATCAATGTTGTCTGACAGAGGTCGAAGGAGTCATGCAGAAAGGAAACATAAGTTGGCTGTAGCGCTTTCTGGAAATGCTGACAATTGTCTCCTTTATTATTCTTGTCTTGCATTCTGCAGACCATAAACAAATGGCATAAATATTCTTGGTCCTGGTTTTTAAAAACTCTACTCTCATTCCTATATTCTTATTTCTTTCCTTTCAGTTTTGGAGTATTTGTGCTTGCAACCCTTGATCTCATTTAATAATAATATACCTTTCATTAGGCCATCAAATACTACTCACTCTACCACACAAGCCTCCTTCCCCTTAATAAAATTTCTTGTCTTGGTTGCAAAAATGGAGATATATATTTCAAATTCCATTGTTCCAAAACATTCATGAAGTACTCTCCTGATTTTGTTAAGCTGCTGCTGTTTTTTCTTTCTATATCAAATATATGTGTATCTGTGTTTGTGCATGCATGTGTGGATTTAAAAAAATAGCTTACACAGTAGATTCTTGTCTAGTCAGGAATTAAGCTTTTGCATTTCTCTTTGGGTTCCAGAGATTCAGAATATACCCCCTTGGACAACACGGTTATCCTCAAATCTCATTCCACAATATGCTATTGCAGTCCTTCAATCCAACCTTTGGCCTGGAGCATATGCCTTCTCCAATGGCAAGTAAGTATCTGATCACTTATAAAGCCATTTCTGTGATTAGTTAAGCTCTGGAAATTATAAATAACCACTACAATGTTAAGCTACTATCATTGTTTTCTTGTTGTTTTTTGTTTTGTTTTGTTTTTTGAGACAGAGTCTTGCTCTGAGTGCAGTGGCATGATCTCAGCTCACTGCAACCTCCGCCTCCTGGGTTCAAACTATTCTCCTGCCTCAGCCTCCCCAGTAGCTGGGATTACAGGCATGCACCACTGTGCCCAGCTAATTTTTTTTTTTTTTTTAGTAGATACAAGGTTTCACCATGTTAGCCAGGCTGGCCTCAAACTCCTAATCTCATGATTCACCCCACCTTGGCCTCTCAAACTGTTGGGATTACATGTTTGAGCCACCATGCCTGGCCGCTACTATCGTTTTAACGCATCTTTGGCATATTATGTGTGTTTGGCATAAAATTTATTAAAATAACATCTGTGATACACAATAAAACATCAAATTCAGGACATTAAGTAGTAATTCGGACTTCTACCCTTTCATCTTAATTATCAGTTTGTTGAAATAAAATACGGTTTTTCATCAATGATTATTTGGATAATGACTTATTCATTCACTTAGAAGATTAATGGAGGTATTTCTAAGCTGTATTTAAATTAGTTTAAATCTCAGATCATTTTTGTTGGAAATCTTGATAAAAGATAATTAAAATATGCTTTATTTAGGCTATCGCTTTCAAAGGAATTAAGATCAAGAGGACACTAAAAATAATTTTATCCCTTACCTAGAACATATACTTCTATTTGTCTTATGTTTCCATTTCTTTTCTAATAACCCAGTGTCAGAAGCTTAGCTTATCTGGAGAGAAAGCTGAGCAGCCAGGTGTTAGAGTAGCCATTAAAGCACAACAAGCTAAAAATGAGAGTTAAGCCTTTAATCATTTACTGTGATAGTATAAGCAAGAGAACGCTTTGACATCCCCGTTCCATTTCCCCCCGTGGAATGACCCTCTAGTGGAGAGTCAGGTGGATCAGCACAGATATGGCTATCATAGATGTGGAGGTGCTGGGGTCATCTCATTGACAAGGGAATCCTCAAACGGCTCCTGCAGTTTTACAGACCTGGAGACCAAGAGGAGGATGAGAGGGGCTGGAAGTGAAAAAGTGCTGAGCACAGAGAGCAGAGAAAGGAGGGGTTGGAAAGGTCTCTGCTGAAGGCCTCAGATAAAGAGACCTAGGAATGGAAGCACCTGGTCTAGGAATGCAAACATTGAAGAGCATGACTAGCCAAAGGGGCCAGCGTCCTTGACTGCAACTTCCCGTAAAGACAGCAATGCACTGTACCCCAAGTCTGGTGTGCCAGGTAAACTCTTTGTGATTGCCTATGGTCATACCTAAAAAAAGTAACACATAGGTTTCTAACCACAAGCCCAACTCCTTGCCCAGGCAGGAGTCTGCAGGGTTAGCTATTTTTAAATCTTTCTAACTTTGTGGAAGGTAATAACTTTTTTTTTCCTCCCCTGAAAATAATTGAAGGAAGAAAGGCTTTTGCTTGTGGTCTAGGTGTAGGGTACATTTTAACAGTGTCTAGTCCCACAGTATTTTTTTTAACCAGCTTAAGCAGTTTGAACAAAAACAATTCCCTGTGGTAGAAAAATCATTGAGGAATATTTTACTTCTAGCATTTTACATGTATTGCTTTTTAAATTATAGGACCATGATATTCTAAGTACTTTAATATTACAGAAGGGTCCATTTTTCTGAGAAATTATATAATGATCTTTTTTCTTTCCTTTTTTTTTTTTTTTACTTACAGAAAGTTTGAAAATTTCTACATAGGTTGGGGTCATAAGTATAGTCCAGACAATTATACACCCCCAGTTCCACCACCAGTTTATCAAGAATACCCCAGTGGACCAGAAATTACAGAAATGGATGACCCCAGTGTGGAGGAGGAGCAAGCTTTCAGGGCTGCACAAGAAGCAGTTCTACTTGCAGCTGAGAATGAAGAATCTGAGGAAGATGAAGATGAGGAAGATGATTATGACTAATAAACATAAAATTAGCCTGGTTTTATGTGACACTGATACACACATACCCCTTATATGAGACTAATTTTACACTTTTCTGTGTGTGTATATACATACACGTCAGAAATTATTCAACTGCAAAAGTCAATCTTGAAAATATCAAGCTTGAAATTTCATATGTAGAAATATTAACATTTTTATTGAAAGATACTCATGGGATTTTCCAGAGGCTAAATAACAGGCAATCACATCATTGTTCTGAGGGTTATGGATAATGGAATATGTGCTTGTACATTTTTGCTTTTAAAAGGGCTCAGGTTTCACATGGTCCAGGTGAGGTAAAATAATTAAAATAAATAAATAAATGGTCTCAGGTTTAATTTGTAATATGACAAACACTGGAAGATACAACCCACAGGAAATTCTTGGAAACATCAATACTTTTTTAAGAGTGCCAAGGGGTATGAAGACAAAAAATATTGTCACTAAAGTAATGTATTGTTAACCTTTGTAAAAACTGATCTCAGCATGTATTCTTAAACCTTTGTAAATACCTGAGGTCGTGACTGTGATATTGTGTGCAAACACTGTATAGCATATATATTCATTTTTCCTGAGATAGTATCATAATTCCATCACCTGCTTAAAACTGTAGGGAACACTGAATTTTTTTTTTTTCTTTTTGGCGGGGAGGTGGTTGGGACAGAGTCTCTGTCGCCAGGCTAGAGTGCAGTAGTGCAATCTTGGCTCACTGCCACCTCTGCCTCCTGGGTTCAAGCGTTTCTCCTGCCTCAGCCTCCTGAGAAGCTGGGACTACAGGTGCGCGCCACTACGCCTGGCTTTTTTTGTATTTTTTGTAGAGATGGTGTTTCACCATGTTAGCCAGGCTAGTAAATTTTCAACCCTTTTGTTACTTCTCAAAGTCTTCTCAGACTCCTCTTTCATCCTACAGAAATTGATTTGAACTGATTGGGGAAAAATGATTTGCTTTGCACAGATATGGTTAGCTGGATACAGCCAGAGACTTGACTTATATTTTCTAGCACTACTTCTCTAAAACATTATTTTCCCTCACTAAAAAAACATTTTTAAGTCCTATATGTACCAGATATACCTGTGGCTATGACTAAAAATTAGGCACTACTCTTGAAATCATAGAGCTTTCACTGAAGAGAGAACTATAAAAAGGTAAATAGAAATGTAAAATCAATTGCAATTTAGCAAGTGTTGTGATACAAATATTACAGGTAACACAGAACAGTGCTTCTCAAATTCTATAATAAAGGAATTTTGGTAAGTTAAAAAAAAATTCCAATCCATTACTGTTTTTTTAAAAATAAAATGACACAGGAGTTCTCAACATCTGTACTTACCTTGCCACAGACCTTCAGTTTGCAGATCAGAGATCTGCACTTGGAGTAACATTGTTGTCAAACACTTAAGATGACTGACTTCAGACTTCAGCAAGTCAGGAAGCACTTCTAAGAGCCACCAGGTGGAGTGCTATGGGAGAAGGTTCTTGGTGGCATCAGCTGCATCCTGCCAAAGGACTTTTGGCTGAAAGGAATGAAATTTCAACTGCAAGAAGTGGTGAGAGATAAGCCTGCAGGGGCAAAGCAGGGCTATAGCGTGTAGGAAGTCTGGATTTTACCCATGAACAGTGAAGAGAATTACATTAGAAAGTCACACAAACATTTGTATTTGAGAACATTTTGCTACAGTGTAGATGGATGAGAGAGAATCCAGACTTGAGACAAGAAGACCAGTTAGGAGGTTATCACATTATCAGGTAACACAGTAGCTCAACCTGTAATCCCAGCACTTTGGGAAGCCAAGGCAGGTGGATCGCCTAAGGTCAGGAGTTTGAGACCAGCCTGGCCAACATGGCGAAACCTCATCTCTACTAAAAATACAAACATAATACAAACATCAGTTGGGTATCATAGCATATGCCTGTAATCCCAGCTACTTGTGGGGCTGAGGCAGGAGAATTGCTTGAACCCGGGAAGTGGAGGCTGCAGTGAGCCAAGATCGCACCATTGGCACTCCAGCCTGGGCAACAGAATGAGACTCCATCTCAAGAAAACAAACAAACAAAAAAACCCAGGATAACTGCAAGGGGATATAAAGTAGAAAACTGCGCTTGGGGGACTGAGATGGGAGGATCGCTTAAGCCCAGGAGGTCAAGTGAGCTATGATCGTGCCACTGCACTCCAGCCTGGGTGACAGAGCAAGACCATGTCTCAAAAAATAAAAAAAAAAAAAAAGAAAACTGGTTACCAGTCTGAAGGACAGAACATCAGGAAAGATGGTTTCCAGAATTAAATTGGCAATACTATTTCATTCTTGAAGTGCAACTTTCATTCTTTGTTGGCATATCTAAAATTCACAACACTTCATTCATGTTGGCTGTTATTCATTTTCATGACATAGTAGACATGTTCTTTTTTGTTGCTTAATATCCATTTCCTTACCTACCCTGATTTCCTTTTGAGGAACTGCCTCTGTCCCATTAGAGAGTCTCATGCCAATCAGATGTAGCCTCTCTGGGATCTAAATTATGGGCTCCTAACCAGATTGTTCCTTCTATAAATTAGACCATATTCTAGTTTCCAATGTTGGTTTGGTTCCAGCTAAGTTCTACCCACGGACTGTGAGCTTCTGGTAATTTTTTGATGAATTACATTGGCCAGGATTCTTGGTTGCAACCACACATGGCATATCCAACAAGAAGTGGAAAGTTTCTTTTCTACAGAACACATTAAACACAAGACTCTAAATCACAGTTGTATAGTTAAACAATAAAAGCAAATCCTTGTTTATAGAACTATGCCTGCTAAATATTATTTCTAAGCAATGAGGAAGACATTTTATTATATATGCTCTCTAATGGAAGACAGCCAAATAGTTTAATGGTAAGAGTTTGATTGGAAGTGAGATAGCCTAGGTTCATACCCTGGATCAAGATTATTTTCTTGGGCATATTACTAACCTCTCAGGGCTTTAGCTTGCTTCTTCATGCGGTTAATAATAGTACTTGTCTCACAGAACTACTCTGAAGATTAAACTAAGTAATATATGTAACATACTAAGAGTACCTAACAGAAGTAAGGACCCAATGCATATTAGCTTACAGCTATAAAACTGGTTTCTGAAACATAGATAAGAAAAACAAAATCCACAGTGCAAAAACAAGACATTTTATTGAAATACTTACCAAACAATGAAGTATGATAGGTATAACTTAATTAACACAGGCATTTTAGAAATTAAATTATGTTAAGACTTAGAGAATTCACAAATTCACAATTGTGTTAAGGAGTTCAATATCTACATTTAGAAAACAAAGTATTGTTCTCAAGTACTGAAATGCTTGATTCTTCAAGGAATCTTCTCGGCTGTAAAGACTTGAGAATCTTGTCTCCTGGCCTTGAAAAGAAATTTTAAAAAACAATTTTAAGCTATAAGTCAATTAATTAGAATATGTGTTGTCATTCTAACATAAAAAATAAAATCTGGATTTTTTTTCAAGATAATAATGAAAATTCCTATATTATTCCTATATTAAATTCCTATATTATTCCTAATAATTAAAATTCCATCTTGGTATTTTAAAATAATCAAAAATTGTATTCTCAAACTTATAAAGTTAGGAATAAACATTTTTTCAGTCAAGACATAAACAAAGAAAATTCCAGATAAAGACAAAACAGTATGAAATAGAAAATGTCACTTTTTTATGGAATAATGAGTCAAAAGTAAAATGCTGGCTCAAAGTCAGAGAGAGATGAATAAAAACAGAGGAGGCTAGAGGAAGACAGGGCTGTGCAGAGAGAAACTTTATAAAACATTATGCATATCCCTCATTATAGTCTTAAAAATGTCACTTCAAAAAAATTTTCAATGTTTGTGCTATTTTCAAAACCTGAGTTCCAAATCAAGACATGTCAAACCAAGCTAAATTAAAACTAAGTTAAATCAAGCTGAGAATACAAGAATGACACAATGGAAAATTAAGAATATAGTGGGGTAACTTTAAAACTGCATATCGGCCAGGCGCGGTGGCTCACGCCTGTAATCTCAGCACTTTGGGAGGCCGAGGTGGGCGGATCACGAGGTCAGGAGATTGAGACCATCCTGGCTAATACGGTGAAACCCCGTCTCTACTAAAAACGCAAAAAATTAGCCAGGCGTGGCGGCGGTCGCCTGTAGTCCCAGCTACTTGGGAGGCTGAGGCAGGAGAATGGTGTGAACCCGGGAGGGGGAGCTTGCAGTGAGCCGAGATCGGGCCACTGCACTCCAGCCTGGGTGACTGAGCGAGACTCCGTCTCAAAAAAATAAAAATAAAAAATAAAAATAAAAATAAAACTGCATATCATAATGTGAAAAAGAATTAAGGAACATGGCTATTGCATAGGATAGCCCATAGTACAGAATAAGCATTAGACAAGTGTTATTTCAACCTATTATAATTAAAATCTTATTATATTTATTATTACTATTCCTTTTCTACCTGGCAGTGTTACACATTGTTAGCCAAGTTACGATTCTTACAGTTAAAGCACAGCTACTGTTCATGACTCAGAAAACTAGAACATCAAATGTACAGTGCAGAGAGCACATTTTTAGTATTCTAACACCATAAACAGCTCCATTTCCAAAACCAGAAAGATAACAGCTAACTAAAATGTTCAGCAAGACTCCATAGTAATATTTAACCACACCTGTGCTCTCGAATGTGTACACTGGTGAGCAAGTGTCTTGGTATTTTAAAATAATTGAAACAAACCTCTAACTTTATCTGGACAAATTAATGATAGGGTTAAAAAAATTAATGTGGCTGGGCATGGTGGCTTACACCTGTAATCCCAGCATTTTGGGAGGCCGAGGCAGGTGGATCACCAGAAGTTGGGAGTTTAAGATCAGCCTGGCTAACATGGTGAAACCCCATCTCTACTAAATATACAAAATTAGCTGGGCATGGTGGTGCATGCCTGTAATCCCAGCTACTCGGGAGGCTGAGGCAGGAGAATCACTTGAATTGGGGAGGGAGGCAGAGGCTGCAGTGGGCTGGGATCAAGCCATTGCACTCCAGCCTGGGTGATAAAGTGAGTGTTGGTCTCCAAAAAAAAAAAAAATTAATGTATGAAATGTTCTCAATGTGTACATTGGTGAGTAAGCATCTTGGTATTTTAAAATAATTAAAACAAAACTTTAACTTTCTCTGGACAATTTAATGATAGGGTTAAAAAAAATGAATGCAATTTTTATACTTAAATCATTACAAAGAAATCTTTTAATGTATCATAAGTAACTTAAAGAACCTCTTAAACAATCCTTGCCTTTACATCCCATATTACGAGGCTGAAAAGATTACTCTAGCTCCATTATTTCAAAAACTTATAGTCCTTCCCCCCATGATCCCATTATTCTCCATAACTGTTTGTCTCTAGTCTTCAGTGTCTTTTCTCTTTAGAGGGAAATAAATCAATGTGAAGTATTTTGGAGCTTTTTTCCTTAATTTAGGGTTTACACATTTTCTAGACTTGATGTGCTATCATATCAAGTGGAAATTTTCAATTCCTAGGAATTTTTCTATAATATTATGTCCCTCCCTGACAGTGTAGTGGCTAGGATTCAATTCCTAGAAATTTTTCTGTAATATTGTGCGCATCACTTAACTGCAAAGAATAAAGACAAGAGGAAATTCTAATGAAGTTAAATTCTAGAAATGTGAATATCCAATAAGCCCAAGTGCATAAAATAGAGCCTTAGGAATCACAAGAATCATATTTTAATAAACCATAATTATAAGACCAATATGAGTTAGGTCTCCTTGGATTAAGTTAGATTTTCTTATATATGTTTCTATTATTCATTGCTTACCTGACATTAAACACTTTTATGAAGCTCTAAGTATAGAAAGTCATTAAAGTACCATTTCAAATATAAATATGTTAATTCCAGAAAACTAAAAACATATAAAACCAAATGTCTTTTCAAACTTAATGAAACAGAGTAAGGTACTAAGGAATACAAAGTGGGCTAGGCCCAGTGGCTCACGCCTGTAATCCCAACACTTTGGGAGGCTGAGGTGGGCAGATCATTTGAGCCTAGGGGTTTGAGACCAGCCTGGGGACCATGGTGAAACCCCGTCTCTACAAAAAATATAAAAATTAGCCGGGTGTGGTGGCGTGTGTCTTTAGTCCCAGCTACTCGGGAGGCTGAAGCAGGAGGATTGCTTGAGCCTGGGAGGTCAAGGCTGCAGTGAGTCATGATCACATGCCACTGAACTCAGGCCTGGTCAACAGAGTGAGACCCTGTCTCCAAAAAAAAAAAAAAAGGAGGAAAAAAAGAAAAAAGTGATAACATTGATTTTAAACTAAAAGTTTTAAACTTTTAAGTTCATCTCATTCAAACTTCACATATAAATATTTAGATACTTACAACTTTCTCCTCTGGAGAAAGAACACCCTCTACTGCCACTATCTGGTATTGCTTATGTTTTAAATTTCCCATAGATTTTCGAAGTTGCTTGAGACTGCTAGCCTCTATGTCTTGCTTTAACAATTTCTGCATTTCTCGAGAAGGACATCCAGGATCAAATATTAGTAAGCATAATGTTCGGTTTTTTTTCTCTTCAATTCCAATAACAGTTCGACTGTGACCTATCAAAAGATTTTTTTTTGTCATACATGTTACATCTACTTACAGTTATACAAATAGTCTCTGTATATATGCTGTGTGAGCATATGTGTGTTTAGAATATAAATATAGTCAGACTCTCTGACACATATGTATCTGAGTTCTCCTAAGACATAAGAGTTTAGTTCTACTTCAGTTTTTTCATTTAACTTTAGTTTTCTAAAGGCTTCATTACAAAAAAAACTCTGCTTTTATTCTGCCAAATATTTTACTTTTCCTTTCCCAATCCCTTGATCCTTCTTATTCAAATTATCTCAAATGAAAGAACAAAAACTGTTCTAGAACAAAATTCTCATGATTCCAAAAGGTAAACAAAAGTAAATCTATAAATGCTAGAATATCAGTGGAGGAAGCTTAACCTCTTATAGTTTGTATCCCTAAACAATGAAATTCCTAATATTTACTTCTGTTTATTCCTGTCAATCCAAACCATCATTCATAATTTACCAAGTATCTATGTGCGGAGTACTATTCCAAGCACAAAGGTATATAACAGCAGACAAAACAGACAAATGTGCCTGCCTTCTTGGAACTTATATCCTAATAGGAAGAGATACTCTAGAAACGAGGTAAATAAATGAAGAAAATGCCAGTGGTGGGATGTTGGGATGAGTTGCACTTTTTTTTGAGACAGCCTC